TTAAAAAAAAGTTGATTATATCAGCTGAAACTAATATTGATATTAACATTTCAGGCCAGGCACAGTGGCTCACACCTGTAATTCTAGCACTTTGGGAAGCCAAGGCAGGTGGACTGCTTGAACCCAGGAGTTTGAGACCAGCCTGGGTAACATGGCAAAACCCCGTGTCTACAAAAATTAGCCAGGCATGGTGGTGGGTGCCTGTAGTCCCAGCTACTCAGGAGGCTGAGGTAGGAGGATCATCTGAGCCCAGGAGGTCGAGACTGCAGTGAGCCATGATCATGCTACCGCACTCCAACCTGGGTGACAGAGTGAGATCCTGTCTCAAACAAACAAAAAGTAACTATTTCAAATATATAAACTTTTTGTCTCTTGTTGGAATGCAATAAATTTTTTTTTCTGTGATAGCAAAGTTATAGGCCTTGTTTTGTGCCTAGTTTTAATTGAAATAATTATTCTCAGTATGATGTATCTCTGGGTATATTCTTGATATACTAATTCTTCTGGCCAAATTTTTAAAAATCTTGCTTCTGCAATAGCATCCTTTCTCAGTGATCACTGTTTGTCTTTAGGAGATCCTCCCTGGTTGAAATTTCTCTTTTCCAGTTTATTGGGGTTTCTAGGGATTGAACATTGAACTGTTCACCCCATCTATACATATCACTCCCTTGGAGAGTTTATTCAATCTCATTGTTTTAATTGTATGCTGATGGCTTCAAGTTATATCTCTATCCTGGACTTTACCCCTGAAAGGTAGACTCAGTTATTCATTTTCCTCTACAACATATTAACGTGGCTGTTCAAAACAGTGTTTAACCAAAGTATGTATAACATGGACACTCCTATATTCCTTTCCCACTCCAAACCTCCACCTTTAGCCTTCCCTGTGGGAATGTCACAAAGATATTCTGTCCTTCCCTGTGGGAATGTCACAAAGATATTCTGTCCTACGTATTTCTCTTAAAAAGTTACAGTCTTGCCTTTTACATATCTAAATAATATCTATGTAACATAATAATAGATCTATGTAACATAAAAGTTACCATCTTAACCATTTTAAGTGTACAATTCAGTAGTGTTTAGTACATTTACATTGGCGTGTAACAGAACTCTTCATCTGTACATTGTGAACAGAACTCTTCATTTACAACTCTTTACAGTTGTAAAACTGTAACTCTATAGCCAGTAAACAACTTTGCAGCCACAATGTGATAATGCTGGCTGCTCAGACTTTTAATTTTTTTAAATTTTCGTGAGTACATAGTAGGTGTATATATTTATGGGGTCCCTGAGATATTTTGACACAGGCATGCAGTGCATAATAGTCGCACCATGGAGAATGGGATATCCATCTCCTCAAGCATGTATCCTTTGCAGTATGAAGAATCTGATTATACTCTTCATTATTTTAAAATGTACAATTAAGTTATTACTGACTATAGACACCCTGTTGTGCTATTAAATAGTAAGTCTTATTCATTCTATTTTTTTGTACCTGATAACCATCCCCATCGCCCCCCTACTACCTTTCCCAGCTTCTGGTAACCATCCTTCTACTCTCTATGTCCATGAGTTCAATTGTTTTGATTTTTAGATCCCACAAATAAGTGAGACCATGTGATGTTTGTCTTTCTATGCACTGTTTATTTCACTTCGCATAATGGCCTCTAGCTCCATCCTCGTTGCTGCAAATGACAGGATCTCATTACTTTTTATGGCTGAATAGTACTCCGTGCGTATAAGTACCACATTTTCTTTATCCATTTATCTGATGATGGGCACTTAGGTTGCTTCCAAATCTTAACTATTGTTAACAGTTCTAAACAAACATGGCAGTGTAGATATCTCTTCAATATACTGATTTCCTTTCTTTTGGGTATATATGCTGCTCAGAATTTTTGATGTCAGGACTTCCTTTAGACTATTAAAAATATTGAATTACGAAGAGCTTTTATTTATATGGCTTTTATCCTTCCTAATAACCACATTAGAAATTAAAAGTGAGATGAGATCACTTGGACACAGGAAGGGGAACATCACACACTGGGTCCTATTGTGGGGAGGGGGGAGGGATAGCATTAGGAGATATACCTAATGTAAATGACGAGTTAATGCACGCAGCACACCAACATGGCTCATATATACATATGTAACAAACCTGCACCTTGTGCACATGTACCCTAGAACCTAAAGTATAAAAAAAAAAATTAAAAGTGAGTTAAAAATATTTATTGAGTAATTAAAAATAACTAATAAACCCAACAGGTGTTAACATAAAACAGTGAACATTTAGTGAAAAATTGCTGTTTTCCAAAAAAAGAGTGACATTGTTTTATATTCGCATTTTTGCAAGTCTCTTGTCTGGCTAACTAGAAGACAATTGAATTATCATATCTGCTTCTGCATTCAATCTTTGTAATATGTCACTTTGGTTAATGTACATAAAGAAAACCCTGCCTCACACAGATACGTGGTTGGAAGAAAGAAGAGTATTTTAAAAGCCTTTTCAGATAATTGTGGCTATTTTTTTTTATTTTTGATACTGCACCAAAACTTGCCAAGGGGCAGTATCTTCGAGGTTTGTTGCAACATGGGATCTGAAAATATATCAATAAACCCTTCATACTTATTCCCATTAAAATCCACTGGTCCCTGTTGTGCTTTACCCTGAATGTTTCTGTAACATCATGTGCAGATAATTTGGAAAGTTTTAGTTCAGAGTTATGCAGATGTTTTAAATGATGACATTTTATTATGCAATACAAGAAATCATAGTTAAGATATCACCACTGAGCTTCCAAGCTCATAGTAGAGAATACAACTTTTCCAAAATTCAAATTTTTCCTTTAAGCTTGAATTTTATCACTGGGTGTAATTGTTGTTAGTTGTTTTCTTTGAAGTGACAAGCTTACATCATTCCATTTCAAAAAATGTCAAATACCCATGGGCAAATAATCATTGTTTGATAGTCAGTTTTTAAGTAAAGATGGTGTTCTGGGTTATAAGTGGCTAGTTCAGCTCACAGCTCCAATAACTGCACAGATTTTCCTTGAGACACTCTTCATACTTTGATATGCAGCAGAAGTGTATTATGCATACTTTCTATTTTATCACTCTGAATACTAAAAAGGTATGCATTCAAGGGTTGGTGTTTAATGAAACAAATACTTTTTACTGCTTCAAGACTTAAGTGAAACTGGCTGTTCCCCTTTACTGTGAGTGTGTGAAGACTACAATGATGACTAACAAACTAACACATTGTACCACTACCTTGATTGCTGCTCAAGAGGCAGCAGTGTTTCCCACCACTTTTTTTTGCACACCTGTGCGAATGTCAACATTGTGAAAAAGAAAATGTGTTATTGTTATTGTGAAAATAGATTTGACCCCATGGACCCCTCCATCATCTCAGGTCCAATTATTGAGAACCACTGGTAGTAGAAGAATGTCCTTATTTATTGGATATATACTTCAAAATATTTAGGGTCAAGGGAACATCTTATCAGTAATCTACTCTCAAAACGTTCAGGAAAAATAAAGTTTTTTGTACTATAGTTGCAACATTTCCCTAAGTTATAAATTGTTTTAAAATATTTGTTTTATCTCTGCTTTATCTCCATCTATTTTACATTAAAGTTATATTTAAACTCCATTACTCTTTCACGGTAAAATTCTGTATTAAAATTGGAATTTTTGGAAAATGAACTTTGTTCATTCTGCGGCTTTGAGTAATCCTTGAAACATTGCATAAAATCCTGTTACTAACTGTGCTTCAAGATAGAGGAAATAGCCATATATTAGCTATTTTTTGTACACTATTAACTTGAGTAAGACTGTTTACATTTGCTATGTCTTATTCACAATAAATTTAGAGAGAATATATCTCCTTTTTACAGAGTATGAATAGGAGCCTTAACTTGTTGAACTAACTTTCTCAAACTTAAATACAAGAAACTGGCCAATGATTCCTTTTGAAACAATATTAGGTGCTTTACATAGGCAAGATTTAAAAGCTGCATATGAAGGTAATAAATTTTAGACCCTGAAAATGTTCACAACATCAGAAAAATGTTTAAAAAAACAAAAGATGAAAAAATAATATATAGACTTACCCTTCTCTTTCTCTAATACTCTTTCCCCATTGGTGGTTGGCGACTGGGTACTCCAGGCTTTCCTGATGCAGAGCCCTGTGTGGGTCACAGCTGTGGGGATCTCACTGTCCACAAGAGAATGTAATATCAGAAATGGAAATCCTTCTTAAATACATAGGGAAGCTCTGTGTATGTAGTAATTTGACAGCAGATTGTAACATTGAAAATATAATTCAGAGGTGACTAAAAACAATAACAGGCATTTAATTCAGCCTCTTTGAATTTTATTTACTGTTAGCCTTTGATTTTCAAGTATCCTTAAAACCACGCAGTCACATTCAGGCCATGACTAACATTTTAAAAAAATACAATAAAAATCTATGGCTGGAACTTTTATTCTCCTTGAATATTGAAATGAATTATACATATAAACTTCTTATACCGGTAAAGTTATGTAGGTATATCTATGCATATAAAATATTCTCTTGTCTCAGGTTTGAAATGACTAAAGTTACTAACACATTAATTTAGAAAGAACACAGATGGATTTGTCAACTTTCCTAACACCAATAGACCTGGCTTTCCTTTGGGTGCCTGTCTCTTCCTAGGGATTTATGTTCCTGGTCAAGTCACTTTCTCATTTCTGCTTTGCTTCTTCCAGCCAAACCCATAGAAATGAAGAAAATAGTCTTTTGATTTCAAGTATGAAAGATCTAGGCTGTTCTCATATTAGATGGAAACTTACAACACCTGAACGTTAGCTAGTAAGAACAGTTTCCTGTAATTTAGTAGTTACTGGAAGCATTGTGTGCCATGCCATCCTCCTGATGTTCGTAACAGGCCTTGTACAGACTGTTATCAAATAACACTTTTTTCTCGATATATCTCTTTGAGCTTCAGTGTTTGGATAATCAAGAGAGTCTCAGCCTTTAGGTAGTTGACCCCGTGATAAGTGCATCCTGTGAACTACCCAAATAAGGAGGAAAACGAAGGCAGCTGAGCCATGGGATGCCATATAAAAATCACTTAAACCAGTCGCCACTTCTTGTTTCCGGAGTCGTCCTGTGCTGGAGGTCTGCCCAGATGGTCTCCATGGCTTTAGAAGTCTTGATGCTCCTTGCTCTCTTGATCTGGACTGGTGCTGAGAACCTCCATGGTAAATAACAAGTTTTAGAGAATGCTTCCTTGAAGGAGTTAATCATAATGATCGCTTTCCATGCAGTCGTTTTACTCCCTGAAGAAATCCGATCTTATTCTAACTGGCTAGAAGAAGAAATGCTTTCAGGCCAGGTAGACTTGTGTCAATATACGGAGGATACATTTTCTCTTTCTGCCTAAATGTCCCAGTTCTCAGACTTTTATTTGTCTCTCTCTGTTTTGGTCTTCTATCTTGAGACTCATTTGCAGAGGTTCTTCAGGAATAGTCCTTGGCTCTCTTTCAGTCTAACGTTTCAAACCCACTGCGAATTACTGGTGCTTGATTGTATCATATTGTAAGGTACTCAGTTGCATCTTAGCTGATCTTTCTGCTTCCAGACTCATGTTTTTGCTTGATGCTGATATTATTGCTGTTTTGTTCCCTTAAAAAGACTGCTCTGAACTTCACTCATGTTAAACTCATCAACCTTCTGCAAAGTTAATAGAAGAAAGCTAAGTCAGCGAGTTGCTGCCTACAAGTTGATTCCAATGTATCTTTTCTGTTTTGCTTGGAATCCAAATGCTTGCCAGCTCCAAGGCCTGACTAAATGTAATCTGTAAAGTAGCATTTCAATATTACTTTTTATGTTCTTTACTGTTTCTTTTTGCAGACATCTCTTTTTTTTTGTTAAATTTGAAATGGAGTTTTTCTTTGAAACTGATATGTCAATTTCTTACCCATTTGGCCTGTAACACCTTTGGAAGCAAAGACCACATATAGCTTCTGATGTTTTTCCATTTTACCTAAGATGAATTTTAAGAATGCCTAGATCAGTGCAGCTCACCACGTAACAGTTAATTATTGAAATGAACAGCACATGGAGAGAAAGAGCGACCATGAATTCTGGCTATCTAGGGTGGGTAGGGTGTTTAGTCCTTGTCTTTCATGAAGCCTGAGCAAAGGAAGATTCTCCTGCAGTGAAAGTATCTATGTGTGTTTCTTGGGCTTTTCTCAGCTATTTGAGAGAATGTCAAACTAAAACTCGAGTTTCTGGCCAGGCACGGTGGCTCACACCTGTAATCCTAGCACTTTGGGAAGCCCGGACGGGTGCATCACCAGAAGTCAGGAGTTAGAGACCAGCCTGGCCAACATAGTGAAACCCCGTCTCTACTAAAAATACAAAAAGTAGCCTGGTGTGGTGGTGGGCATCTGTAATCCCAGCTACTCGGGAGGCTCAGGCAGGAGAATCACTTGAACCCAGGAGGCAGAGCTTGCAGTGAGCCGAGATCACACCGCTGCACTCCAGCCTGGGTGACAGAGTGAGACTCCATCTCAAAAAAAAAAAAAAAAAAAAGCAAAACTCCGTCTCAAAAACAAACAGGCCAGGCACCGTAGCTCACGCCTGTAATCCCAGCACTTTGGGAGGCCCAGGTGGGTGGATCACAAGGTCAGGAGATTGAGACCATCCTGGCTAACACAGTGAAACCCCGTCTCTACTAAAAATACAAACAAAAACAAAAACAAAAACAAAAACTGGCTTGGCGGCAGGAGTCCCAGCTACTCGGAGGCTGAGGCAGGAGACGGCGTGAACCTAGGAGGCGGAGCTTGCAGTGAGCGGAGATTACACCACTGCACTCCAGCCTGGGCGACAGAGTGAGACTCTGTCTAAAAAAAATAAAAAATAAAAAAATAACAACCCTCAAAACTCGACTTTATAAGGTTAGTGTGAAAAAAATGCAGTGAAATCATAAGTATGGGCTTTCTGTGTGTCCATGTCCACTTATCCTTTCCATCCATCTTTAATCTTAGCTGCTGGAATTTATTTTCCTTTAGGAAGGACCTTCCTGACCATCTTTCCTAGGTGATGTGAGAACAGTATTTCAAACACATAGAGAATCGTGATTTAAAGGTTATGAGGCAAGAACACTTGCCTCCTCTACTCCTTTTCTGAAATGTGCATTGTCTTACCTTGTTGATATCTCTCTCAAGGCGGGACTTCCAAGCTCCAGTGGTGGTGGAGTCCTCTGTGGCCACTTGCTCGTTAATAATATAAATATGTACTTCTTAATGCTGAAAAGACTCAGTTCCTCCAAATGAATCTATTGCAAATAATGATTATTATTGACTTACGATTTAAATAAAGAGGATAAAGATGGCTTTTACAACAAAACTTGCATGGAGCTAACATCCCAGATAAAGGGCTTTCCCTCTCTTTTTCCTTTTATGGCTGAGATTGTTTCTGGTACTGGCTGCTCTAGACATGAATTCTACTGTTCTAGAACCACCCTTTCTCCTCTTTCTCTTTCCAAAAAGTATACCGGGATGATATCGCTTTTATTCTAATACACTGCAATTCACTTCTGCCCCTTATGTTTTGTCCTAAATAGATCACCCTCCATGGAATATAACTTATTTAGGAGAAATTAAGGGGCTATACAGTTATGCTTTTTTTTTTTTTTTTTTTTTTTTTCTCCTTTGGAGTCTCGCTCTGCCACCCAGGCCTGGAGTGCAATGGCGAGATCTCAGCTCACTGCAAGCTCCGCCTCCTGGGTTCACGCCATTCTCCTGCTTCAGCCTCCCGAGTAGCTGGGACTACAGGTGCCGCCATCACACCCGACTAATTTTTTTGTATTTTTAGTAGAGACGGGGTTTTACCGTGTTAGCCAGAATGGATCTCGTGATCCGCCCACCTCTGCCTCCCAAAGTGCTGGGATTACAGGCATGAGCCACTGTGCCCGGCCCAGTTATGCTTTTTCTTACTCTTGCATGTTGATCTTCCCACCTCCCCCATGAAATTACTGAAATCTAGTTACTTGGGGACATAATTAGATATTTTGGAAAATAATCTTAATAATGTTTATAAGAAAACCTTTAAGCCATGGTTACCCTTGCCAGAGAAATAAATGCCTTTTGTTTATCGCCAAGGGCAGAATTGACTATTCTTTGAACACTTTCTTAAGATAGACGTACTTCTGATGCTTTTCATATGGTTCTTTCCACAGTGAAAATAAATTGCTCTCTGGACTGGTTGATGGTGTCAGTTATCCCACTTGCAGAAAGCAGAAATCTGTATATATTTGCGGATGAATTACATCTGGGAATGGGCTGCCCTGCAAATTGGATACATACATATGTATATGAGTTTATATATCTTGTTCATGATTGTGGCATCAGGACAAGGGTGAGAAGAGTGATTGTTTGTGAAAATACTAAATGTTTTGTCAGACTTTCATGCCTAATATTAAAATTGTCTTTTAAAAATCTAATCCTTGCTTCTCGTTGTAGTAATTTATGGGCAGATGACCACGGAATTTCTCATTTTTTCTCACTGAATATTGGGTCATTCTGTGTGCACAGGACCTTAGATCACAGATTTACAGACTGGCTAGTGAACTGATTCTAAGTTGCCTTTAGGCTACTACTATATTTTACTAAATATTAGCAGACTGCTTTGAATTTTATTTAATTCTTCTAATGTGGGGGGTCACCAATCTTGGGAAGCTCTATCATGTTCAATGTTAGGTAATTTGAAATCTCTCCATGTTCCATGAGGATTTGTGTCAACATATGTGGATTTTCATTGAAATGAAATCTCTTGTTTGTTCTTCAGCTAGGCACAAATCCTAAACTGCGTTGTTATCCTGGGATATTATCTTCTTACAGATTCCCAAATTTAAACAATTTATATTCACACTACACAAATATTTTGGGCCAGTGACCAATGATAATGATCATTTTTGAATAAGGTATTTTATTTTAGAAATTAGGAACTCAGAGCTTCAGAAGGTGCTTTACCAAGTTTTCCTTGTTGGTGGTAGTTTAGATGCCAAACCAGGATGAATACTCTCCAAAGCTTGTGCTTTAAACCACTCTGTTATTTGACTTACAAATCACCTTTCTCAGAAGAACTGTTGGAAACCTTTTCATTAATGAATCATAAAGATGGCTGTAAGTGGCAGTTTAAATTTGCTGCAATGAATTAAGACTGTTTTGTTCCCAGGCATTTTAAATTCACTCTTCGGGATAACGGGTCCTCTTCTGTCCCAGTGAGTTGTCAGATCTTCATTTATATCTAAGAATGACACTAGCCATTTTTGAGATTGTGAATGTTTTTTACATCCTGTTCATGTGTGTGTATTTCCCCTCTGTTACTCCAAATATCTTCCACTGAAACTTTGTGCTCTCCTAGGTCATTTCTGAGGAAACTCTCCTTTTTCAAACCGAGCTATACTTTACCCCAAGGAATATAGATCACAACCCCGAGGAAATCCATTTGGAGTGTTCTGCCTCTAGGTAAGTCCAGCAGATCTGATTCCTTTGGAATGTTTTAGCTTTACCTTTGCTTATGAGAAGCTTCTGCAGAAGCATAGATTTTAGAGAATATAACATAATTCACCCATAATTGTAAACAAAGCCCAAATTAGTGTTTACACAAATATTTTAATGAATACTTTAAAATGTTTTCACATTTTAAATGCAATGTTTATTTTAGAATAAAAACATAGAGATTTATAATGGTCCTAACAGACAATCTAGTGTAACTAGGTCATTTTATAATAACTACAAAGCAGAGTCATTAAATACTCAGTCACCTTTAGTAAGTGATACAATTAAGCATTGATACTATCTTTCTTTTTTTTTTTTTTTTTTTTTTTTTTTGAGACGGAGTCTCGCTCTGTCGCCCAGGCTGGAGTGCAGTGGCCGGATCTCAGCTCACTGCAAGCTCCGCCTCCCGGGTTTACGCCATTCTCCTGCCTCAGCCTCCCGAGTAGCTGGGACTACAGGCACCCGCCACCTCGCCCGGCTAGTTTTTTGTACTTTTTAGTAGAGACGGGGTTTCACTGTGTTAGCCAGGATGGTCTCGATCTCCTGACCTCGTGATCCACCCGTCTCGGCCTCCCAAAGTGCTGGGATTACAGGCTTGAGCCACCGCGCCCGGCGATACTATCTTTCAATGTTTTGTCCTTTATAATATTTTTTCTGATATATTTTATTGCTCAATTTCATCTTGTAAGAGTAAGTGGCTAAAAACGTAAGAAAACCAATCCTTCATTTGATGCTAACTCACGGAGAATTCATGAAGGACGGGCTTATCAGCCTAATCATTAAATGTACTTTGCTTGCAATTTTGTGGAACTGAGATACTGAATCCCAAGAGCTTTGTGTGAACTTTGAGACTAAGTAGAAAGGTATCCTGATATACTTTTGTTTTTTAACCATGCCATTGAAATATTTATGTTTTATAAATCTGAGTGATGAATCTTGGAAACTATCTCAAACCACAGGACAAATTTTATCCTTGCTTAATATATGGAAATAGTTGACATCACAGTAAGAATTTAGAGCTTAGCCAATGTGCAATGTCTTTTAATGTGATTATAGTACTTTTTTTCAGGGGGAGGCAGAATTTTTTTTAAAAGTTTGGTAAAACATACATAATATAAAATACCATTTTAAGTGTACAGTTCAGTCCTATTCAGTTCAGAAGATATTTGGAGTAACAGGGGAAGAATACATACACGTGAATAGGATGTAAATGGCATTAAGTCCATTCACATTGTTAATACTTTTACTCGTCCCTTTAACTTATTTTCATAAAGGCTGAGGGGTTTAGTGATATTCTAGAAAGTAGTTGAACTCTAAATAGAAACCACCCCTTGATTCTCTGTCTCTGTCTCTCTGTCCCTGTCCGTCTCTGTCTCTGTCTCTCTAGTCTTTCTCTCTGTCTCTCGCTCTGCCTCTCTCTCTCTCTTGCTCTGCCTCTCTCTATCGCTCTGCCTCTGTCTCTCTCTCTCTTGCTCTGCCTCTGTCTCTCGCTCGCTCTGCCTCTGTCTGTCTCTCTGCTTGTCTCTGTCTCTGTCTGTCTCTCTCCCTGCTCTCTCCGTCTCCATCTCTTTGTCTCTGTCTATCTTTCACACACATACATATGTTTTCAATTCTATAACTACCCAATGCTTGGAGCAACACAGAGTTCTGATCTAATGTTCCAGAACTACTGCCTCTGTAGGCTACCAGAGTAATAATGATAAATAGATATTCCTATTTTGATAGTAAAATACTATGTTGCTTGCAATCTACTTTCCTTAAAAAAATGACGACTTGGCCAACAAAGTTGTCTGTTTAGGTTTTGGGTGCGTGAATTTTGATGTTGTAGTCTCTCTCTCTCTCATATTCACTTACTCACTTTGACATATAGAACTTTGCCACCACCACAGTGGGTCAGATTAAGCCTTTGGTGGCTTTTACTTACTGTTCTTAGGATCCATTTGGCTGAGTCTGTTTTGCTGGGTACATTAGTACTCTTCTAATGCAAGCATCACAAGTTATCTAAGACGATTCATCTTTCCACTCCATGTTTGATGCAGAAATCATGGGGAGACTATCTGGAATTAGCTCTTTTATAAGCCTATCTGCTCAAATCCTATACCAAGAGTTCACGAGGATCTAGAAGGCGTAGTATGCTGGCTCTATGCCACACTCCTGAATGACTATTCTGAAAATGATTATGATATTAAACAGTGGTAAAACTGACTTGATCCCAAGTGTGCCAACACTATCTGCTTTCTGTTTCCCTTTTCTTTAGGAAATCAGTGTGGCTTACACCAGTTTCTACTGAGAATGAAATAAAATTGGATCCTAGTCCTTTTATTGCTGACTTTCAGACAACAGCAGAAGAGTTAGGATTATTATCTTCTAGTCAAACTTGCTCTGAGCTAAACGAGAAATGGAAACTTGAAGCTGGTATTATGTATTTTGCAGGAAAACAGTTTTGCTTTTTCATAGCAAAAATATAGTTGGTGTATATCTCTCCTTAAGTCTCTGGTTTCTAAAAACCCTACTTCAGTAAAGGTCCTGATTAGTTTATTAGTGAATGTGTATTTCTAAATATTTGTATTCAGTAGCGGTATGGCTTATTAATTTAACATTAACTATTAGGTAATTCATATTATACATTTAAGATTTTTTCTGTTCTGTGTAGAAGATTCAGAAATATGTCTTCAATGACAATGACTTGATCTAATTGATATGAACCTCCAGTAAATATGTTCTAATATTTTTCAGGAAGAATAAAGAATAGAGAGAGACATATAAATGTGCAGGAGGCAAAACTTTGAGCATAGTGTAAAATTTAACATATTAACTCTCATGAAAGGCAAAACTCTTTTATGTGCAGATATTTTAATTCATGTAGACTTTCCTATTAATCAGTAAAGTTGAATCCTAACAATAATGCAATGTGACTACCTATTTAGATTATTCCAGAAGTAAATTCAATTTATTTTCTAGAGCTCAAATAACCACTCCCTTAACTGAAATTTGATGTTAGGTTTTCCTTTTTCCTCAGAATGTTTCTTCCACACTCAAAATGATTGATTGAGTTGGTTAAGCAAAGAGTTACCCTGCCACCTAAAAGCATTCATTAAATGATTATTTATTAACACTTACTTTATACAGCTTCCTTTCTTTAAACAGGGAGTCTATATGTGTAATATATCCAAAAATACTTCTAATTTTGGTAGATTTCTTATATCAAGGGTGAAAACTGAACTGTGCCGTTGGCTATTCAATAGTTTGTTGAATGTATGTTTTGGATGCTACATCCTCCTGGGAGCAAATTTTACCAAGATATTGGTTATTATTATTTTTAGTTAAAGTGATACTATTCCATTTTCAATAAAATGCCGCCTATAGCTGTTTACTTGTCAAATAAAGAATTTGAACCTGTCATAGTGAACATCTGTCTTTGGCAGTTAATATGCAGCTGAGAGGTAATACTTCTATGGGACTTCCTAAGTGTCAGAATATGGTACAAGTACATTACAATAAATTATTTAATCTTAAAGAGAGAAATATATCACTATTACCCCAGTTTTACAAATAAGCAAACAAACAGAGGTTAAATCATTTGCCTGAGTCATACAACTTATTGGTGTTGGTTCAAGATTTAAAATTGGGCAATCTGCCTCTAGATCTGTCTCTATACTCACTCTCTTTGTACATTAGCCACTATACTCTACTGCTTGGAATCTTCTTAAGTTGCTGAACTTTAGTTCTCTAGGAAACAATTGCTATTCAAGTAGTTACACAACTCTCAATAAAACTTAAAATTGAGCAATAGTGTTTCTCTTGAACATGGATGTAAAATTATTTTATATAAACCAATTTGAGAGAATATTGGGCAGGTGAATGTTTGCTAAAAACAAAGTAAATTATTGAGTGTGAGATAATACATATGTACAAGATAAAGAGTGATGATGTGGCTGGATTTTAGAAAGGTGACTCTAAAACCTCTTCTCTTCATTTTCTTCTTCTTCTTTTTTTTTTTTTTTAACAAATTATGATTTACACATACTTGTATCTATCAGCTATAATGCGATGTTTCAATATATGTATAAATCACGTAATGAGTACTTAGCATACCTGTCACCTTAAACATTATTTCCTTTAGTGAGAACATTCAAAAACCTCTCTTCTAGCCATTTTGAAATATATAATACAATTATTTTTAATTTTCATCATCCTACTATGCAATAAAACACCAGAACTTATTCCTCCTAACTCTAGCTTTGTTGACCCATCCCTCAGCATCCCTCAGCATCCCTCAGCATCCCTCAGCATCCCTAAAGAGAAACAGGCCACATACTCCCCTAGCTTTGCGTCATAAATAGAGGTTAAATTCATTTGCCTGAGCTTGCACCAACTTATTGTGTTAGTTCTACATTTAAATTGGGTAATCTTTGCCTTTAGATCTGTCTTTACTTAGCTCTACATTATTTACCATAATTATCATTTGAATCTCTTAAGTTGCTGAACTTTAGTTCCCAGGAAATAAATTACATTCAAGGACACATAACTCTCTACAAACTTAAATTGAGCAACAGTGTTTCTCTTGAACATGGATGTAAAATTATTTTATATAAACTAATTTGAGAGGAATATTGGGTAGGTGAATGTTTCATAAATGGGAAGTAAATTATTGAGTGTGAGATAATACACATGTATAAGATAAAGAGGATGATGTGGGCTGGATTTAGAAAGGTGATCAAAACCCTCTTCTCATTTTCTTTCTTCTTTTTTTTTTTTTTAGACAAATTATGATTTATACATACTTGTATTTCCATTACTATAATGCTAAGGTTTCAATATATGTATAACCATGCAATGAGTAATTTCTAGGCATACCTGGCTACCTTAAACATTATTTTTAGTGAGAAAGATCTAAAACTCTCTCTTCTAGCCATTTGAAATATATAGCCATAATTATTTTTGAATTTCTACTATCCGATTATGTAAGAAATACTAGAATTTATTCTCTCAATTTAGCTTTGTTGATCGCATCTTGTGCATCTCTAGTATCTCTTAGTATCTCTTTGCATCTCTTCCTTCCTTCCTCCTGCATCCCTCAGCATCCCTCAGCATCCCTCAGCATCCCTCAGCATCCCTCCTCCTCCCCTCCCCTCCCCGCCCCTCCTCATCTTCTGGTAACCACTATTCTACTTATTTCCACCTATGAGTGAGATCATGTGGTACTTCACTCTAGTCAGAATGGCTACTATCAAAAAATCAAAAGATAAGTGTTGGCAAGGATGTAGAAAAAAAGGAATCCTTACATACTGCTGGTGGGAATGTAAGTTAGTACAACTGTTATGGAAAACTTCATGGAGGTTTCTCAAATTAAAAATAGAACTACAGTATGCTCCAGCAATCCCATTACTGGGTATATATCTAAAGGAAATGAAATCAGTATGTCAAAGAACTATCCGTACTCCCATGTCCGCTGCAGCACTCTTCACAATGGCCAAGATATGGAGTCAGCCCAAGCATCCATCAACAAACAAAATGTGGTGTACATACACAAGGAATACTATTCAGCCTTTAAAAAGGATAAAATCCTGCCATTTCATTTTGTAGGCAATGCTCAGAAAGAGGAAGTAATTTGTCTTAAATTCACATAAACATTTAAGAATTAAGCCAGGCCGGGCACAGTGGCTCATGCCTGTAATCCCAGCACTTTGGGAGGCCGAGGCAGGCGGATCATGAGGTCAGGAGATCAAGACCATCCTGGCCAACCTGGTGAAACCCCATCTCTACTGAAAACACAAAAATTAGCCAGGTGTTGTGGTGTGCGCCGGTAGTCCCAGCTACTTGGGAGGCTGAGGCAGGAGAATTGCTTGAACCCAGTGGTGGAGGTTGCAGTGAGCTGAAATTGTGCTACTGTGCTCCAACCTGGTGACAGAGTGAGACTCTGTCTCAAAAAATAATAATAAAAATAAAAAATAAAAATAATTTTTATATATTTATTTTACTTTTTTCCCTCGTCCACTTTAATGAGGTACAATCAGATAAATACATTCTGGGGATCTTTTTGTGTACTTGAAGTTTGTTAGGAGACCTTAAATGTTCTCTCCACTACCAAAGGAAAAAAAAAAGATGATTATGTGATCTGATGGGTAGATTAATTATCTGCTTTGTGGTAATGACTTCACAGATACACAAATGTCAAAACATCATGTTGCCCATGATAAGTATATTAAATTTTTATTTGTGACTCTTCCTTTGAAAGTGGTTTCTCAACAATCATCCTCTCTCTAAGGAATTGAAGAAAGACCCCAATCATTTTTATTACTTATTTTGAACTCATGTGAAGATCTTAGTTACTAAGACCTTTACAAGGATTCTGTCATTTGAACTTTCTACCCCAAAGTGGAAACTATGGTCTTCAATTTACAAATGGGAGAACTGCAGTCTTAGAGTTTAAGTGACTTCCTTTCATGGCTTTTTCTACAGCTCTAAATTCAAAACGAGTATGTTGAAAGCATCCACTCTTTCCTTTCACTTCTTCAGATTTCTTTCTCTTCTTCACTGAAGGCATTTTCTTGTTATCTCTTTCTTCTTCAGTATTCCATTTGCAACGGTTCTGGCTAAAACGGGGAGGGAAGGATCTTATTTTTACCACCTTCCTTTTGGCTATTTCCTTCTGACTTCTGCCTCCGTCTTCTCTTTCCTCAGTCACTTCCTTCGCTCCTAAACGTAGACCCTGGAGAGCCGCTGCCTTAGGGCTCAGGTGTCTGCTCTCCCAGCAGAGTGCCTGTGCAGAAATTTTCTGCCCGCTGGGCCCCCGCTCATTTCATATTCACAATCTCTGCCCCACACACTATGCTTTGGTCTTGGTGTCTGGCCCTCTTTCTCTTTCCTGTGATCACGTCCCCACTAATGCTCCTGTTTGTAGGACCTCGCTTTCCTTGCTGTGAACATTCCTCTCTGTCTCCCAGACTCCCCTGGGGCATGGATCAGGGGCTGTGCCCTCATTCTGGGCCTTTCTCTCAGGCCTGGCCCTGTGACCTTCATAAGGATTGTGGTTAGAAACTTCATGTTACCCACTTCCTTACTCCCTGTCACTTGGCTCTGATCTTTCTATCACCTATTTTAGAACATTTATTTAGGATAAGTGTATAATTTGGCCACTTTTGAAACTGAAAGGAGGCCAGGCGTGATGGCTCATGCCTGTAATCCCAGCACTTTGGGAGGCTGAGGTGGGTGGATCACCTGAGGTCAGGAGTTCGAGACCAGCCTGACCAATATGGTGAAACCCTGTCTCTACTAAAAATACAAAAATTAGCTGGGTGTGGTGGTGCATGCCTGTAGTCGCAGCTATTCAGGAGGTGGGAACAGAAGAATTGCTTGAACTCAGGAGGCGGAGGTTGCAGTAAGCCAAAATCGCACCATTGCACTCCAGCCTGCGTGACAGAGAGACACCATCTCAACAAACAAACAACAAAAAACAAAAAACAAAAAAGAAACTGAAAGAAGGGGTTTTAGCAATCATATTAGGATTACAGGCACACTTCGGGCTTCACCATTGTACAAAAGAGAGATTTTGCACAGGGCTTTTCCAGTTAAATTTTAGGAAAGCTGGGTAACATTTCTCTACCATAGTTTTCTCTACCATAACATTGGGTTAATAGTAGTACCTGGGTCCTGGGTTATTGTGAGGATGAAATGAATTAACATATGTAAAGCATTTAGAACAATGACCTGTACGTAGTAATCATTTAATACATTTAAATAACAATTAGCATTATTATTATATCTGTGATATTGGCAAAGAACCTCTCTAAGCATGTGAGAATTGAATGTCATCATGCATATAAGGTACATAGCACTGTTGCTGGCACATCATGTAAAAGAAGTACCAGGGTGACTACCTCCCTCCTCCAGATGCTTCTCTGACGGTGTGACATTATCTCTTCTTGCTATGCAACTAGCTCTGTTCTACCTCCATCCCACAACCTCTTCCCACTTGTCTACCCATATTTGTTGCTTGTATTTCCTGTTCCAACAATGTGTTAAGCAACATCTGAAAGCCGGAAGACAGTTACCCCTCACGCCAGTTTCCTAACCATCACTAAGCCCTTGGGAAACACAATGGATCAGCGAGGCCCCAGATGCAGATGTGATTAGCACACTGGTCAGTCAGCCCGCAAAACATTTTCACCGAGTCCTCTAAAGTGTTGCATAAGGTAAAGATAACGTTAAGTCTGTGGAGGCTTCCGTTATCGGGAAAAGATGCTGTAGCGATCTTTTCTGAGTGTCTTCTACTTGCGACAAACTGGACTTGGGAGGAAAGCCGTCTGCCAAAGCCTAAAGCCTCCAAGGTATAGATTCCCTCTCCATA